GGCTATTCTCAAATAGTAGTTGAACCAGCTCAACCACTACGGTTAACCATTTTTCATTCTCCTACCCGACGAAATTGTGATTAGCCGGGAAGAAATTTTTTGTGGTAATTCTTCATTCTTGTCTTTTACTATAACACTAATGAATGGGCAAAGGTGGTGTATGATAGGTAGAGCCCTAACACACACGAAATGCTTATCAGAACTTAAGTTTCAGGTGCCTAAAGTGGTTGTGCTGGAACTCATGAGACTGAGAACATACCGCTTTGTCCTCAGCTTTTGTTGTGAAGTCACTGAGCAATAAAAGTGCACAAACAAAATAGAGGAGCATTTTGCAGCTCACCGAATGAATGAGAGAAGCTTAGTGAGCTGTCCTTTTATGCTGCTTTGGATTTTTATTCTTGGAGAAAAACGGATTCTGCTGTCATTGTTGCAGGTGTGTTCACATTTGGACATGGAAGTGGAGCACTACGTAATTGCTCTGAGAGGGCCCTGGATGCATTATTCGAAGAGAAATCAAGGTCCCCCAGAAGTCTAACCGGAAGATGTAGAACTATTGGATATGTCGAGCTCTACTGATTTCCATAGAGAAGACGAAAATTGCAAATTTGCGGAGTCGCATAAAGGCTCATGATACCCAATTCGAGTCGACTGCGCTGCATACTCTGAACTGAGATACTGAGGTTGAATTGACGAAAAATCTGGGCTTGCGTGATTTTCAACAAAATTTTTCAAAAGGCTTCCTTCCTTTCTCTACCCCCCTCCCAACGCTTTCTACATCTCCTTCCGCTCACAACCCCCTTTCCTGATCTCTTCACCACTCATTTGAAGGACCTATAATGCCACAAACTCTGGGTTGGCACCTTTTAAGGCTGGCCCGACCAATGTAAGAGATAGGCGTCACGAAACTTTCAAGGATGCTCATTTTCGTAAATCCTTTCAAACGTTCCCGAAAAATTTTTTAATCAGGCATATAACGAGAATTTTTCGATTCCTCGGAGGCAGGACCGATGTAGCTGGCTCATCAGAAGCAGCTACACAAACTTGTTTCATTCTAAATAAGGCTAAATTTGGCACTAAGCGATACGACATAGGAATTTAATTATCATAGAGAAGGGGTCCACTGCAGTTTCGCCTCGGCCCAGCTTTGAAAAGAACTAGCTGGGCAGGAGAGACGTACAGGCAGTACGAAGGTGGAACTGCAGAATAACCCAACTTCAGTAGGAAAGAACTGGATACTGTAGGATCTGGTGTGCTACCTACAAAGTATGAACACATCCTTACATACAGTTCCTCGAGCTTTTCTAATAGTTCAGGGCTAACTTGCACATGCACAGGTTTCGCAAAAAGTGCCTAAAGGCGGTTGGGCGGATGGGGGGAGTTTCCTCAAAGTTTCTTCAAATTCCCTATTTCAGAGTTCAAAGTATAATGGCCTGTTACGACAAAAGGATGTACTCCACAGTTCCTATCCAGAATCTTTGACAGCTCCCCCAGTGCTGGAGCAGGACAGGAACGAAGAAAGAATTTTTCGTTGGGATCTGATATGCGACGCCGACCGTTTAACATACAATGTTTTGATATGATCAGCCGATAGTCAGTAGCCAAAGTCATCCCGTCCGGCGAAACACTTCCAGTCGCTTCCCGATCGCCGCATCGCCGGAAATACCGTATCACATCCTATTGATCGTTTTTCTCTGCGAAAAATTTGGTTTTCGGTATTGAGCTGTCATCCAGGAGCTTCCAAGAGCTTTTTCACTATTCGGATGTCCTACAGGACCAAGAGGTAACTAAAATTTATTCGAATTGAAAGTCTCAGAAGTCTTATTGATTTCAGGAATGAAATGATTTTATTCAAGTCAAACCTGAGACATAGGGCTTACTGAACAAGTATAAATATTTTCAGTACTCGTTAGCCAATGGCAATTAATTGTTGACTTGTTCAGGTCGATGCGACTTCTGCTGGGCCTTAAGAGCCTTATTGACATTTCTAAAGTTTTTCTAATGTTAATCGTTTGTTAAACAAGACCACTTAGGCCATGACGATACTTAATCGATCGGACTTCTCAAGTTCCCACTTTATGCAGGAGAGCAAACCTTGAAATTACCTACGTTCTCATACCGAAGATTAATGGGATCCAGCGACCTCTGTAGGCAAGGTGCAGTAGTGATATTAAGGACTCTGGGGGTTCAATGCAGGAGATCTAGAATTGCGTCCATTTACGCTGACTGAACCTAAGTGTACCGAAATTTGTTAGAAAAATCTTTTTATCAGTGTAATGAACTAGCACACCAACTCGTCATCACAAAAATATTCCATGGTCATTCTCGTAGGGATCCGAATATGGGGACCACATATTTGTCAGAACTTGATTCCGGAGAGATGAAAGTTTTATGTTCATTTAGCTGACTAACAGTATCTTTACTTTTTTTTTNTTTTTTTTTCGAATTACACATTCGAACCGCTCAGGAAAGTTGAACAACATCTTCAACTTTCCTGAATACCCACAACAATGAGCAAAACAATTTTAATAACTATTACGAGATGTTCTTATGAGCTGGAAGACCTACCTGGTTAGGACCTGATACATATATAGTTGACACATCGATTACTTTTAACGTTTACTTAAGGAGGGCAGCAACTGGGCGATTACAACTTTTGCGTCCGTCCAGCATCTCTGAACTGTCATAATCCAATATTCTAAAAGGAGTTCGCAAGATCCGTATAGTTATTATTAATGATTAGGGAGCTTGATAAGAGTCAGGTGTAGGTAGATCCATTTTGGAAAATTGATTTCCGGAGATACACTGAGATGCACATTCCTTCCCAACTTTCGCAAAAATTTGTAGGGTTCATGATGGTGCTGAGCCCAGTAGTACCTTTTAATCCTTCTGTAATCTCAAAAAACTTCCAATATTTTGTTCAATCTGGTCAGTAATGAAACTGATCTTAGTTTTACCGAGCAGAAATTCCAGTCCACCAAAGAATCCGGAACATCCTCTAGTTTCTGTTTGTTGTTGATTCACGCCTATAAATGTATTTGTCCAATCACATGATCCCACCTCAACAGGGCTCAATAGAAATTCTTTTCGGGTTACCTAATGGGAAAGGAACACTGATTTGTTTACTACGCTCAGAAATACTAACCCTCGCATGCCATTACAACTACCAGGTGATATGAAACGTATTCTGAGGAAATTTCAGAAATGTCTCGATATTAGGCGTTTACCATGATCAGTCTCACATTCGGTTGCCAGTAAGGTGCGTTTGTGCATTGCCATAACAGCTTCCTAGGAGAGCACTCGGCGTAACAAACTTCCAGTTGAAAAAAAGCAGGCAAGTGAGAATGTGATTGATCTCCACTAATTCATCGGCTTAACATTCAAACTGAAATCGTTCAGAATGAAAAGGTTGGTCTACTTTCACAATAATTAATAAAAAGGGCTTTCGACGCTGCTACTTCTTCTGGATTCGTTGGCCTCTCCTCTTCATGTGAACCACTAAGATAAATAAAAACAGGGCTCCGGGGATGCCAACAGTACCATGACAGGGATGACTTCCGATATGGGACCTTGGCTTTTCAAATGGCGAAACCTTGGCTTTGCCGATGGCTTCTACATCCCCTAGCTAACAAAGGATTAGTTTATAAAGCGCCATTGAAAAGTTTGTTGAAAGGTCCAAACTGAGGTCTTTGATGTTGGATCATTTGGAATCTCGGGAAGGATTCCGGATAAGTCCATCGTTTTCAAGAATCTGGCAGTGACGATCTGAGCTGCCAATACATTGAATAGAATAGTAGGTCTGGCCTGATGGTACCCACTTCTGTCTTCTGCTACCTTGTCCGACGCCTTCAGACTTTAGATGGTTTCAGAGTTTGGGTGAGAATGAAGATAAAACTTTGCAGGATTGTAGGAACGGACGATTGTCCAAAATGGGAGGCTTTCTTGCGTAACGCTGCGCTTACCCTGATCCCAACCTTGTTTCAGGATCTGAGGTTTTTAGTTACAGAATCTTAAGACCTATACTGGCAGTAGAAGTTGATTGGATAAGTATGAAAAAAGTAAATGATCCCGCGCTTACACAATTCGAACAACTGTCCTTGGGAAACCATAGGAGCTCTGCCTTTTATTTCTTTGCAACATCACAAAACGTATACGTCTGCGAATATTGGATCTGGGTTTCTGTAAGTGAAAATCGCAATCCAGCAATTGGAATCTGGAAATCTGAAGCAAAATGATTCCTTACAAAGTGATGCCCGTGAAAGAAATCTTGAATGCTTAGCATCTCCCACGGAAAAACTGGAACGGGTAGACCTCCCACAGAAAATGGCCCTATGAGATAACTAGTAGGAGTAGGGCAACGAATAATACCTTGTAAAACAAATCAGTCCCATAGACTACGAGGTCTGGGCTCACCTATCGGTTGACAAATTTAGATTACGGTCACCCTTAAGAACGCAAACTATTTAGACTCTACTCTAGGGATAGGCCTACCTGTACTGGGGTGGGAACTACTCACTAGTAGGACCATTGGGACCAGTCCAATAGTTCCTTATCCCTGGTAGTCTGCCAGGATTTTGAGCAGTCTAACACAATCAAACATCATCGCTTCATCCCCTTGCTGGCTTTTGGGAGGACGTCATCCTTAAATTCTCTACCCTGCCAATTTTCCTAATCGGTCGAATGGGACCTCGCTCAATTTTGAGATTTTTGTACAGATATTGATGAAAAATCATCCAAGATTCTGAACAGCGAAGTCCCTCAGGCTCTAACCACGCCCCTCAAGGTAGTTCATGATTGATGGGTAATTTTCTTCCGAGCTCTTCTCTACTCACAGCGTTATAACGGTATATCCCCAAAATAGCTTACTGTCTCGAAACCTCTCACCAGAAAGGTCCCGTTCTGATTGCTGCCTTGAATCTGACCCTTTCAGAATGGTGATTGATTCAGGGATTACCTCTTTATCGAAGAAGCGGCCGTACAGTGCTGATCATTGACGATCCACGATGGAGAAAAGATCTAGCGCTCCAATCAAGCGTCGCGCTCAGGAGCCAGAGGATATGATTGGACCCTGTTCGTCTTCGTCCGTTACCAGTCAGGATCAGGTAAAACTCTTACAAATCAAGCCAGTAATTATTCCCGGCTCACTAACTCTTAATGTCGATCCTCATGGTAACCAACAATCTCGGAATAGCTGCGTGCCAACACGGTGACAAGGGATAATTAAATGTCTCGGCTATATCAGCTGTAGTTAAATTTCATTATATTCGTCGGGATGGAAAAAAGACTCAGTTTTTTGCTTCTTCAGATTTTTTATCCTTATTATTAACCAATTAGATTGGAAACGAGGCTCACCTACTTCATGTACTTCATATAATGGATTCAAAGCTTTTTCTACCTTAAACTATCAGTTCATTTTCGGGGAGAGATACCTGCAGATAACAGAAGGCTTTTAGCTTTTGTAGACCCTAATTCGAAAGGTTATTTCAAAAAGCTACTCATCAATAGTCGGTGGGCTACTGGTAAACATATATTTTAATCGTAGCTGAATCGAGCCACAGAAGGACTATAGACCTTTGTAGAGGGCTCTATAAGTCTCTATAAGTTACGGTAATACAGATCAGTCGAATTTTCCGCCCAAGAAAAAAAGTGGGGGGGGGGGGGGGGCACATTCATGAGATAGTAAGGTTCAAGGATCTTGCTGGGTAGAGGTTTGTTGACGTTGAAGTTGGAGAGATTTTGTATTTGAGCGGCCTAATTATGTTTCAATTAATTATTTACCTATTAATTCAGCTATTTACTTATTTCTCATCCACCTCTCTCTCCCCTATTTACACCTCCCTTAATCCCAAAGGACGCTTTTTATGAAAGATCATCTTTTTGAAGAATTCCCGAAGTTGTCAGTTAACAGCATATTGAGTGGAATGAGGATTTACAGGTGAAGTCTTTTTCCATCCTTCTGAGATCAATCTGCCAGGATCATACCCCTTTGAAAAAAAAATCATAAACGATGATCAAATGCGAAACGTTTCCAGAATCACTTTAGCAATCCCACTAATCCTTATAATAATAACTCAAGAAGAGGGTTGGAAGAGGAGGGGAAGGGAGGAGGAGGATTGGGAGGTAAGGGGGAAAGAACAAATCTAGTCCGGAAGAAAGGAAGCAGAATTCTTAACAGGAAAGAATGAGTTTAGCTCACAAGAAGCTGAATTCTTGACGGAAACCCTACTCAAGGTGACCCTGGGCGACCTCTCCCGTGCTGTTCCGACATAAATGACATCCATCAAATCTCTGAATCAGGATCCCAACACGGACGAGGACTCCTCAGGGAAAAGGTGGTGAGGGAGGGTTAGCAGAATAAACAGAAACCGGTTTCCTTTCTTGTAACCCTTTGAAAACCTGAAATAGGGATCGGGGTTTTTTTTTNNNTTTTTTTTTTTCGAGTTTTCGCCTTTGAGCCTTTGGAGCCATGACACCTACGTCACGGAATTTTGGTTAAGCGCTTCCCAACAAGTGAATTCGCCTACCCACAGCTATTTCTTTACATCTACATAATTTGGGCCTCACTTTTTTACGATTTATTTTATATTCAATAATATTGATCTTGGGTTTCCAGAGGCATCAATACTTGGGTTGGGTTGGGATGGTTCAGCGTCTGTGTCAGTTCCGCAAAGTACTAACACGTATTACTCTATAAATGTTATTTATTGAGTAGTAAAAAAATGATTTACCCAGCTTACCTTGGTAAACAAGATAACAGGAATATTTACGATTGCGAAATTGAAAAATCCTGTCACTTCTTCGTCTCGGCTTCATTCTTGAATATTCTCGAGTCTTTATCAACCAAGTGATTTCAGAGTTTACAGAACCCATTCAAAAGACCTCTCCCGCCACCTCAACAGAGCCAGGTAGCATTTCACCACGGTTTTAATTTTTTTCTCTTCGACCAAAAAATTAAGAAAAAAAAAGAAACTTTTAAGGATGAACCGATAGATCTAAGTCTTAGCGTTGAAGAACGACAAAGACGATCACGTTTCTGGGCATTTGTTGAACGAAAGCAACAAAGAGGTGAAGTTGTACTGGTAAGTATTAAGCACTTCGTATTTTCATTGATCCATCACTTTTTTTTNTTTTTTTTCAAATCAATTCCATTTCACTAGCCAATCAGCAAATTAGAAGGTACGGTAGGGGTGAATTGTATGCAGTCAACATGGCTGCTTAACAGCCCCTTTTTCCTATTACAATAATCCAAGACGTATTCTCTCTGGTGAAAGTTAAGCGAAAAGTTAATCCGAACCCATGATTCACGGTAAATGAATTAGATACATACCAATACGGCATTGTGTCGTAGACTCCGGTGTATTGTCCGTGACTGCACGGCGACTATAGTGGGTGGCTTACGTCTTGTGCACAGTTAATGGGATTAGCGTCAAAAATCCTTGACACCCGAGGGGGTTGCATTTGCCTCTTCAAGAGGGATTTTATCTTTCGTTCCATTCCCCCCTCCCCTACCCCCTACGATACTTTGTTTACCGTGTTCCTGCCAAAGAACCATTCACAGCCCGAGGCGGGCTCTAAGCTTAGAACCTTATTCGCAGCAGTACTAGCTGTAATCAAGCAGTACCCCCGGGGGGATGGAGAGCTTGGTTGGCGTAGGCGGATATTGATCTGGGTTTCGGACCAGTGACCATGCGTAAGAGATAGTGCGCTACTTGCCACTACACCACCTTCGCCGTCGATTTGATGAATAGCTCCAACTAATAACCTCGCACGGCAAGAGAATATCACCGGCACAAACAATTACAACTTGTATCCCCAGCATTTGAGCAGCTTATAAAAGGCCCTTCTTGCAAATCAGATAAAAGTGGGAAAAGATTCAACCCCCTCCCCCTTATTATAGCAGAAACTAGGTATTCTAGAAGAATGCTAGGATTCTTGAAAAAGAATGCTCTTTTTCTAACAGAACTGGGCACCTAAATTAGCTGCAGCTCCATGGGAAAGTCCTGAGCTTCAATTACTCATGCTGACTCAGGAACATCCCGAAACTGGATGTCTCAAAAAAGACAAGGCTATTCATTGAAGATGTTTGGTTAATCTACTGCTCCGTACCGTTTCTAATTACCGCCATTTCAGTACTGTTCACCGTGCCTGATGGTATTCTCCGATCCTATCATCTACTATATGCACATGGGAACACATTCATGGAACCATACATTTCAATGTTTCGCGTGCGGTACCGTATGCAACGACCGCCGCGAGTTCCAACAACATCTGATTTTCGCACCTCATAAGTGACTGGAAAATCCTTCTTTCAGGAATAATCCTGAATTTATTTGTAGACCCCAATAATCTCATAAGGGGAATCCTAAATACTACGTGAATCAGGGGCTAATCGTCCTTGGTTAGGTACAGCAATCGATTAGACGATATTACTAGTGACTGCCTTTGAGTCTTTTCAAACCTCCTGGGGCCGATCCCGTTGGTGTCTGCGATTTTATAGTNAACAACATCTGATTTTCGCACCTCATAAGTGACTGGAAAATCCTTCTTTTAGGAATAATTCTGAATTCATTTCCCCAATAATCTCATAAGGGAGTCTTAGGGAGTCTTATTACATTAATCATGGGCTAATCCCCCTTGGCTAGGTACAGCAATCGATTGGGCAATATTACTAGTGGCCGCCTTTGAATCTATTCAAATCTTCTGGGGCCGATCCCTTTGGTGTCTGCGATTTTATAGTGCCTGAATACGATACCTACTCTCTCGTTTCAGACCTTAAGGGGCATCACTTATCATTTTCCAGAATTCCGCCGGAATCCCATTCTTAAATGGTAAAAACTGTGATCCCATCCCAAACACTTGTCTGTATCGTTTTGTAAACTGTGCCAGGCCTTTTACCGAAAATATTTAGGCATCTAAATGAAGCCTACGTTCTATGATTTTTACATTTCACGAGTTATGGCTGATTTGATCATTTGATTGTTGACCTGTGAGCTTTTATTGATTATGAGATCCTTCTTGGGTGATTATATTTAAGATTTTATAAGAGTAAATACTTCTTTTTTCTTGTCACGTTCAGATGAAAAAAGTATAAAAGTAATTTTGACCAGGTTACTTGTTGGATTTAACTGAAAGTGTTCCCATAGAAAGTGTGGGAGAAAAAAATGAATGAAATGGAAAAAAATGGAAAAAACTCAGAGCTGGGTTTGAAGTCCTTTCCATTGGCCTGTTCGAACCCTGACTTGAGATGCTCTCTTTTCCCGGCTTCCCTTTACATCAGTAACCGCATTTTGAGTGTACCCTGAAGTTTTATAAACTGAAACGGTTCAAAGCTTTTTATTCCTCTCTACATCGCCTTCATCGTTTGTATCCATGCAGGTGGCTCCGAGTGGATGACCAGTGTCATGAGGTCCGAAGGCGCGATCCTGGCTCAAAGTCCTGTCATTCTTTTTGAAACTGTGGATCACAGAAAAACATAGAAAATAAGGGCTTAAGGTTGATCACCTCTCTGGAATGCGCCTGGCTACCGACTACAATTCAAATTGCTCATGGGTTTGGATCCGTATTATTGTACACGACATTATACGATGACAGGTGAACAAATGGATGCATGCTTAAATTTTCCTTTCACACAAATAGAGACCTTATAGCACCAACCTCGAGAAGTTGAAAGTTTGGTTTGACCAAACGAATCAACGAGATTCGATCCATCAACAAAGCTTTGAGTAATGACGCATCCTCCTAGTCGAATAGCTTTCATTCCCAGACTACTATTTGAAGAATAGTTATGAATTTCCTAGGGAATTCAGCTTTGAAATGCCTTCTAAATTGATGAGAATCCATAACATATCACAATTCCAGTCATACCTATAATATGTATAAAACTATGTTCGTCATATGCATTGATTTCAACTGTTTGTACACCTGCACAAACCGCTTCGCTCCAGCTCCATCATCAGCTCCACTGCAAATCCATATTGATGTAGTCAGCCGTTCGGATCAACCCAACAGTCAATGATTCATCGTTTGCTTCAGCTGTTCATGGAAAAGGTACGACATTACCCACCGCTGAATATCCAACAGCTTACCAGAAACCTGGTGCGATCTGCCTTTTAGTTCTTGATTCACTTCTGGATCCACGATGAAGTTGTGTTTATTCTTACAAGCTTGGACAGTTAGAGTCAGAGTTAGATCTTTCTCAGAAAGTTTATTTTCAAAACTGTACGAGAGCATGCCAACAAAATGGATTTTTGGACGAGTTTCCCATATTTGTTATGATTTCACATCAATTCAACCAAGTTGACTTGGCCAATGGCTTTTCACACGGCGTTGCTCGTCCACATTACATTTAGAGTCCTGTCTGACACGCCTACAGTATACGTTCTTTTCAAAAAAGGTATCATTAGTGAAACTTGCCCCTTCTGTATGTGTTTTCACTTTGCGAAACCATATTCCCGCTTCTCGTACTTCAATATTTCCACACAGCATATTTCCTATGNTTGAAGGCCACGACAGCGGGTCTGAAGTGGTTTTCGAGTTTCAGGCAAAATTCCCGATGCTGGGAAGGACCGCAACTTTGATACCAGGCATTTTTGTTTACCTTGATCAGTTTACTGGCATTTCTTTTCGTGTGCTATACACCATGAATTGACCTACTTTTTTCAAAAAGCTTATTTACAGATGAGCCTGATACTGCTCCTTTTTCTTTGCTCCACAGGAGCTACTCTGAACGGCTTTGAAATCTCTTTGGATGCTAATGCCTTGCCATCAGTTGTACGACCTGCCGAGGATCAGACTCAGAATCTACAGCCAGTGCTCTATAACGCAGTACCAGTACTGGATTCATCAGGTGATCGCTACACAAGTAATTACTCACTTCTTGCCTTTTAATTAACTGTTGCGCTTCGATTTTCTAGTTGGCCCCGACCGTGCCCACTGGCAACCACGGTAATGAAACAAGTACCCATGTGGGTAGAAAAGCCCAAAGGTAGCCAAATGTTTTCTAGCGGTCGTGTATTAGCGCCTACAGCCTCTCCTACATCTTTTCCAACTTGTGAAAGTAATACCAGTCAAGTAGTCCAAAGCCCCTCACCGTGATTTTTAGCTGGCTCGCCTCTGCCATGTCACAGTTAGTTGCGTTGGTAATCCAGCGGCATTACAATTTGGAACCATCTTCCACAAACTCTGAAACGCCTTCTGACCCTTCTACAGGCGTCGAAACCCAGAATACCCTCTCATGTGTTTCAGAATCATCACCAGACCACAACGATGGTTGGAACCTAAAGTCCGAGGGCCTCAGTTCATATTCAACAACCAGAAGCCAAACTCGAACTTCGAACTAACTAATCCAATCCTTAAAATTCCTTGCATGTGTCCAATTCCAATTTTAAGCTCCACGAGAAAAGCCAGTTGCCAACTGCCACTTGTTAAAACACTAGGCAAATCAGCTTCCTCTCCAAGGGGAACGCCCGTTCCGCGCGTCCGTCGAGATTAGGTCACCACCCTCACTTCGCGCTCGTCGCCGCCCTCCGCGATGTTGATATGACATTACAGTACTCCTAAGTGTCAGGGGAGCGAATGATTTGCGCTAGTCCACGTTAACTCACTTCAAGCTGACAATGATTTCCAGACATTGACAATGACAATGACAATTATCGATGGGTGATTTCCAGCCCACTCGTTTCCCTGTTTTCCATTTTTCCGACTTCTCCGACTTCCGTACATTCCTCCTCGCTTGCTCGATTGTGATTCTCCAATTTACAAATTTTTCATTCTGGGAAGTTAAGGGACGATTTTCTTGTCTAGTCATTCACTGCACGTACGTTAGAAATTGGGAACGAAGCGACCCCTCTCGAAGAGCTATTATCAAAATTCAGGTGTCAAGTTTGGATTTGGACACATTGAATCGATTCGGTTTTCTGAATACCAAAACATAGGAAGTGGATTTTTTGTAGTAAAACTGTCTCATCACCGGTTCTTTTTCAGCTCTCAGGGTTGTGGTTCCTGTGGAGCCGAAATCATCACCAGCCATCAGCGATAGACCAACTAATGGTTTCTGGCCGAATCCGCAGGCGGTTCGAATGTTTCTTGGAAGGAACCCGAACCAACATCAGCCAGACACAGGGTCAATCGCGGCAAAAGGTAGGACTTGCAACTTCCGGAAGACTCTGGTAGGAACAAAAAGACATTTGCCAAGCAAGAATCGACGCCACTTCTTAAAACCCGTCGCGCGGTGCCAGTATTCACCCACTGCGCATTTCACTTTTTCCTTACAATTGTAGGGTCAGGAGGCGTAAATGTAGTCATTCCACCGAAATTACCGAACTACACATGGTTACCTCAGGTGGTTCTGAAATGACGACTTCACCGTTATATCACCTCCGATAGCTTGCTAGCATTGAACTGGGGAATAGGTTCCTCCGAAGGGACGTCTTTTCTCTCACACTACGTCTCGCTACTTGTCGTAATCCCCTCTAAATTCATAAAATTGACTGCTCGGAGCTGGTGAAGTGGTGAACGCCTAGACGGCGAATTCGCGATCGGTTCCCGCTTGGGTGAAACCAAGCCCTCCATCACACTGGTATCGCCTAATCATGGCCAGACTAGTCCGGGACGGGAGTATGTCTTTTGACGTTGCCCTTCCCGCCCTTTCGACGCGGTTTGTGAGCTGGACAACTCGCCCAGGTGATTCAACCTCCTGACCATGATAATCTATCAGAGTACAAGTAGGTCCGCAGTCTTGCGTCTAATATAGTGGCCACATCAATCAGGCGTATATCAGTTGGATGGGCAATGGGTTGGCCAGGAGGGTGAATCGCCTGGACGAGTTGTCCCGCTCAGGGACCGCGTCGAATGTTAGGCGTAATGCGAGGGGCCGCACCAAACGACTGCTACCCCTCCGGGACAATGGAGGTAGTGACTTCTACACCTTTTGGTCCTCACGAAATTGAGGAGAGTTCTTCCAGATAGAAAGTGGCATCAACTTCGGTAACTAGCTAAATGACGTTCAAGGACAAACGTTTGTACGTTCTTACCAAAAGGGTTTCAATGACTTCACTGGCATTTGTTTGGCATGCTGGTGATAATTGTTTTTGTTTTCTTATTTATATGATATAAGTTTTATTATCGCTTGGCATAGGTTTTCATGTACATAAAACAGCTCTGTATCTTACAGTGCCGAAAATCTCCAAAAAAAANAAAAAAAACCGTTTATATTACAGGTCCACCCATTCCATCGATACTCATTCATCAAGCGATCTATCCCCCTGTCGATGAGGCTATTACCTATCCTGTTACTCCAGAAGGAACATGGGATATCTACCCGGGTCATGAAAGTGTTCCTACTTTGAATCCCATTGTCATTGAGGGTGTTCCTACTCCGGGCCCCGTTGTTATTCAACCAACTCTAAAACCTGAAATTCCCCTACAACCGACTCTGAAGCCTGAAATTCCCCTAAGCGTGCTCGTACACTTGATTAGTGGGGGTATGGGGGAAGGTAGCGGTGAGGACGTCTACGAGACATCAACGCCCAGGACAAGTGACGAGATATTGCCGTCATTCCTGATTGGAGTTCCGGACGATGTCGTCCAAGACTATTTCAAGGTGGGTTGGAGATTTTTGTTGACGCCCTAACTGAGCTCACCGGTTGTTTTCAGATCAAAAACAATCAAGAGCTGACCAAGGGTGAGGTGAAGACGTCTCTCGAGCAACTGAAACTGAAGCTTCCACCTGACTCACGGGTCCGTTTTTATAAACACTGATGATGTGTGCTGAAAATTGCCAAGTGACGTCCCTCTTACTATTTTCCCCGGTCCTAGTCCCAGATATTTATTTCCCTGGGGCATCTACTTCTCTGATCATCTCTAGGAGCTTGAGAGCACTGGTCAGTGCATCGATTTTGATCCTAGCCAATTAATGTGTGGGCTATCGACGCAGTCAAACGTCACGACAGTTCTGAATGAAAGTCTAATGAATGGCTCCACTCAAATCGGAATAGATCGGTTTCGAAAAAGCACTACCCACTGGTCGTTATCAATTGATCAAAAAATGAGTACCATCCTAAGTAGAATACCAGGCAAATCCGGTCGGACCGCATAGGCTGCTTTCATAGTCCGCCGGCCGGCCGGCGTGCCGGCGTGCCGGTGTGCCGGCGTGGAGGCAGTGCTAGCGGGGAGGAGGGAGGCAGACAGATAGGCAAACAGTCCACGCCCCTTCGAGGGGTTGAAAACAAACAACCTTCGAAGGGGGTGGACTGTTTGCCTTACACTGTCTGCCTCCCTCCTCCCCCCTAGCACTGCCTCCGCCGGCACGCCGGCCGGCGGACTATGAAAGCAGCCATACAAGATCCCCATAAAATGAAGGAGCAAATTAGCTCACTATCATCACCTGGAACAAACCTTTTCAAAACTCTTTTTGCGCAAAACTTCACTGTTCACAAATTTCTTCTAATCAACTTTGTTCAGAAGAATTTTGAAAATCTCCAGCTCGAAAACGAGCAGTTTTTGGCGATGGAGCGCAGTCGCCAAGCTGAACGTATCGCCTCGATGGGTGAAATGGCAAAGCAAGTCGCTGAACAGATTCAAGTTGGTTTAGAGCGGATTTGATTCTACCGTGAAATTTCCTTTGCTGTTGAAGTATCATGTATCACGTAAACAATCAGTTTTTGGTTGTTGATCAGTGCTGCCTTGGAATGCTCCTAGACTCTTAATTCCCACTCGAATTTATGGTGACGTTTGACTTTGAGGCTTACATGATGGAGGACGAATTCATGAAAAATCGACGCCTTCATACTCTCAGACAAGTATGAACCCATTAAACGACTTCGCCGGTTTTCGGATCATAACTGTAAATACCGGAGTCACGAACAACAATCATTCTAAAACAAGTATACTTGTAGCAGGGGACGCTGATATGGACGGAGCGTCTGGTTTCAAACCAGAATTCGACCCACGTCCATGCTTATAGACCAGTGCTCATAATCTGCACTACCAATTTTTGAATGCCCAAATTCTGGTTCATCTGTTTTTACTCAAAACCAGATGGTGCACTTAGGGATGACTCAGATGAAGCAGGTTGATAGGCGGCGGACCTTTGAACTTTTCCAGACCGTGAAGACTCAGACGTACTGGTACAAACTATAAGCACTGGTCTTGAACCTCTAAAGGTTTTTGGGTTCGTGGTGAAGTATGTAATGATAAGCGCACCTTCCAGAGAGCCTAAGTGCCGGTAAGAAAGCTATGAAGTCAAACATCCTACCCAAAAGTCTCAATATTGTAAAGGTGAGAGTTAAGACAAACTAAATTCCTCCCACAAGTGTGACTAAACGAAAGAAACGCGCTCAAGATGATGAGTTTAGAGTAGGTATCCCTGACTTTTGTAAATGAGAATGGCTTGATGGAGCAGAATTGAAATCAAACGAAAATATGCCTATGAACAGTCTCGCTACATTTTTCTTTTCATAATTTTTACTTCGATTTTCATAGTATAATAATTCGACTACTGATATAAGAGTTCTCCTTAATCTTCCTGTGATATTGGATTCTTCGTGTTTTGCCCAGACAGAACCTTTATGGGTTTCATCTTCAAAAAATGTACGAGTAGGAGTTCAGGCTTCTTCATGTGTCTGCAATCATACGTTTTCATTACAATCACTGATTACAAACCAAAATTTATGGATCCCAAGGTGATAAGACGACGTTCAACATTTGACTGACCACTATTATGCAGAAATGGAGTTAACAGTACGGATTGGACTAGGTACTGCCAAGAACTACTACCAAATCGTACATAGAGAGAAAAACCTTCAAGAAATTGGAACTCACCCTTGAATCCTTTTTGTTGTGCAGGAAAGAGGCAGTCTACGGAGGCTAGGGCAACAACTTCGGCTCCCAGGTCATCGATTTATATTTACTCTTGGCTCTACAGCATTGCTCTGGTGGTTACAGTCTTATAGAGCAGTCAATGGTTGTGGAGATCAAGGTCTGCTATGGTAGCTGATTCCCATTTCAAATCGTTTATGCTGGTGTAGGGCTCCTGGGTCCAGGACGTACTATTCAACCCGAATTTCCTCCAAAGCAGATAGCTATCCTTTTATCGATCCACCGTATCCCACCGTGTGTTCTACAGGTGAAATTTATTCGCAGTTGATCAAGGCCGTCACCAAGACTTGCTCTTGAAGGCCTGAATAGCGGCTCGCAATTTGGAACGCCGTCACTCAAACTTTGAGAGAGCTCAAATCTTATGCACATGCTAACAGTGATATTAACTTGTTGAATTATTTGTTTAGTTATTTATTTGTTTGTTTATGCGCCAGATTCACTAGTTTATGTGCCCGTATTTATTGACCGCATGGAATAATGGACTCAGGAAAAGCAAAAACAACAATGTTGCAAGGGAAACGAGAAGTTTCAGAAAAAGCTGATACATATTTCATCTTTGGACGCAAGTGACATGACGCTATCGTTTTAGGAAGTTCGTGCTAATGACAGTCTTACTCAAACAGAGGAAGAAGTCTTGGTTCAGGAAATGGTGGACACAGTTTCGCAGGAGTTGAGAGATGGACTTCGAATGATATAACGGCCGTTTTGTAAAATTACCTCATATCTGTAATTGTACTGTTATACTACAAAGATCTTACTCAACAACTATCTCTCCATTTCAATGTGCCCATATTTTTTGATCTATCGCTATACTGTATATAGTATCAAGGCTTTACGATATTGCCGAATTTGGCATATAAAACCTTTGATAGATTAGGGCCTTTCGCCTTTAGGAGGGTGAAAGTAGTGCAGTGGGAAATGGCACACAATCACATGATCACCGGTTCTAATTCCCTATATCAGCCTAGGTCAGCTAAGTTTTCCGTCCCTTCGGGGCCGATGAATTGGTACCAGATCAGTTCGAGAGGATAGAAGACTGACTTGTACATCGGCTGGCCACCGCAAGACATTGTATAGGGCACATACACATTCATTACGCTACTACGATTCTGAATGGTAGTCGAATGCGGAGCGCATCTTCAGAGGGATTTATCAATGCCCAATTACTTGATCCTTCATTTTTTTATGGCCTCACAAAAATCTTAGTGTAAATTGGCCTTCTATAAAGAAACGTAACCTTCGCATCAGAAGTTGGGAATCGGCTATGCCAGACGAGCGGTCGAAACAACTTTCTATTCAGACGTACATATAAGGTGGGTTGGATACGCCAGGGTATTTAAAACTAATCGGTGAAATAAACCGATTGTTAGGTATTGAATTTCCTTACTGTGTACCACTTACAGACCTATCGGATGAACGCATAATGAGGGCAATATGGATGCAAAGGGTAGTTGATCAGAGGGAGAATAGCGTAGAATCGTTGTAAAACTGTTCAGCGGCCAGACTGAACCTTTAGCTTTCATGTGGCGATTGATGTGACTAGTCCAAGTAGCGTTTCTAAAATGCCTGTGAAGTATTTCGGTTCGGAACGTCATTTTGGGATACGCCACAGCCCTCCACATCCATTCAGAAAGTTCAAGGTGTTTGTATTCGTATTCGGCTTACTTATAGAATTACGAGTTCAGCAACTACGTAGGTCAATGTTTTTTAAATACTCTTCCAGATGCTTTTCCAGATGATACCAAATGGACCAACAGCCTGGGAGAACGGAGGGTTGATCGGTCTTAATGGTACTGGTCCTCAAAGCCTTAGGGTAGCTCCAAGTGATCCTACACCATGTGAGGGGCCACTTGGGGTTAGCCTACATACATCCATCGTTTAAAGTTGGATAAATAAGTATGTTCACTGAAATAAACAGTAAATTGGCAGTACAAACAAGCCCTCTGTATGATTGGAGAGTCATCGCCTTTATTAAGCTTTCCCCACAGTTAGACTCACAGTTCAACTCTTTCGTAAAAAAAGGACTTCTAGGAAAATTATTTTGAGGCCAAATTTCTAATCCGGCTTCTGGCTAGACTTTGCTGGACAATCCCCCGTTTTCACTCATCCATCTCAGCAATACACCTTAACAATGGCTGACCACTAAAAACAAGCTCGTTGTTATGTAACAGGAACACGGGTGATGAGGGCGGCTGCTCTCCTCCGGTATGTCCAGTAAGAATGGGTCTGTTTGGTAAACATATCGGGTCTTGCTGACGTTTTCCCTCCCCCTCTTCCTGGGATGCTCGGGGCTTTCCGTGATGTTCTTGTTGAAACGAAATCGACTCATTCGTCGTGGCGGCGGGTAGTCACCAATTAAAAGCGGTCGTTGAAGCTGGAATATCCATCACTGGAGAGAGTCAAATGAGGAGCGCTACAGAGAGCATCCGTTGGCGAAAAGCAGGCGATAGACTGTGTCGAGGACTGAGGGCGTTGGCCTCGAGAGCAAGTCGACCTCATCTGCCTCAAGAATGCTAAATAAAGCGCCGATGACATGCCAAAAATGTGCGTGTGGTGGTCAGGGGTAAGGGTGTTCAATGGCTACACGGGATGCACTTTGAGGACATTTCGATGGAGCCTGGCACATTGATAAATGACCCTCAATAAACACCTAACAACATGTGTGGGAGAGTTTCCCGACCGTAGGCCAGGCCGATAAATCTTCTGCCGGTTTGCAGAATAACCCAGACATCCCTAGAAACTCACCTCTGACCAGCCTTCGGCCCAGGCCCAACCACCCACGAAAACCCCCTGAATCATCCTTCAAAATGTCATCCCTACGTCAATCAATTGGATGAATTCCCTCGGAAAGATTAGCATCTCTTGGAGATCGTATCTTGTAATGCTGCTGGCTGGCTTTATCCTTTAACCCTCGTCGCTGCCTCCAGCCCCCTTACCATACGGTAATCCCCCTCCCATTGCGATACCAATTATTCCCACAATATGTTAAATGCGATCTGCGGCTGTAGTGGGGGGTGTTTAGTCGTGATGACCTCTCTCTGAAGCGATTAGACGACGAGCCGACCAGGACAATAACCAGATGGTGTTCCTGAGCGGAAATTTGACGGAACTACAAGAGGCTTTGACAATTTTATGGCATTTATTGAAACATGCCCTCCCGCAGATCTGCCCGAGCGTTCCGGAAGAACATCCCGTCCCTGGAAGTTTGTTAATCCCACTGTCGTCCCGAGCCGCTCTCCCTAGTGGCGGATGTTCTGGCATACGAATTTG